ATCTTTCGATTAAGTTACCACCACTAGTTGGATGGTTGGTGACACATGGTGTTCTTTTTGTTACAGCACCAATGTGTCTTGGATCGTTCGCACGAGACAAATCTGTATTTTTTGGTGTGGATGCACTGTCATCCTACGCCGATCCATGGATTTCAAAATTGCCTATACCCAAGAGTTGCCCGACGTAAATAAAAACATGAAAAATGTCAAAAGTGTGCCAATATATTCTACAATGAACATTATTAAATAAATAAAGGAAAAAAAAAACTTTGTTTTCAATTTTGCTTCGCTATAATCCGAATAATCATGTCTTGTGAAGTATCAGAGTCTGTTGAGATCGATCAGTTCCCATTTGAATCCGACAAATCTCACCGATTGATCGAATAAAACATTCAAACCAACTGGTCTGAAATACACAAGGTGTGAGTGTGGGTGTTGGTATGGATGTCGATGTGGCTGTGGTGTCAACAGAGAAGAGATCCACACTCACACCCACGCCCACACCCAAACCCACACCACCACCCCACATTCACACACCCACAACCACACTCACACACCCACATCCCACACCCACACTCACATACCCACACCCCAACAAACACCTACATCCCACACCAGCACACCCAAAATTTGTTTGAATGATACCAATCGCATGATACAACTTTATATTAGATCAATGAAACGATTAGCGAAAATTAAAAACCGGCATCGTATCAAAACAAGTTCTTACGACGTATTGAAAATTTATTTCGTAGCTAAAACTCGAAATTTATCATTTTCTTCTATGGATTGAATTCGATTGAAACAAGGATGAATTTCATATAAATCAGTTAAATTATTAATTCTATCATTTTTTGCTAACATTTCTGTAATATAACAATCAAATCGTGACAAGTAATGAAGTCGTTTCGCTAGACCATGAGTTAAATCAATCAATGATGTCGAATATATTGTTTGTAAATAGAAATATGCAATGTTTGATGTATATGTAAGAATATTGTCAATAACATTGAAAGTCAATTCAGCATGATCACTCCAAAGAGTTAATCGTCGAAGCGGATGTGTCATTGGTGAAGTTGCAGTGATGAGATCATTATTATCATTATACAAAACATGTACTTGAAGATGTTGAAGGTTAGGACATGCAGCAAGAATGGCTGGAACACACATTGGTTTACAAGAAAGAATTGATACAAACTGAAGAGAAGGTGACGTAGTCCATGAATCACAGATAGACACATTTATATGACCCAAACTAACATGCCGAAGAGATGGAAATTCATTGGAAAACACATCCCAGGTTAATTCCGGTGTCAAAGTGAATTCAGATCCTAATATAAACGATAGATGAGTGAGATTGGGAATGACACTAGGTTGAATCTGTGCAAGTTGTTTTGAGTGTTCAATACACAATACCAATTCATGTAAATTAGGAAATTGTTTAAAATCACAATAGTTAGATGTCGGAATAATCAAACGAGTGACGTAAGATGCATATAACTTCATCAACAACGGATCAACTTTATTGTCGAATGTTAGAGATAGATTTTTACAGGATTGCAAAATATGGTTTAGTCGTGAATTAAGCCCCCAAAAAGCTTGATATAAGTGTTGAATATCGATAAAAGTGAATATATAGTACAATAATTCGTTTGGAATTTCTTCCACTGTAGTACATATACACATAAAATGAATCAAAGAAAAATAAATAGAAAAATATTCTCTCAAATAGTCACAGTCATTAGATTAGAAATGATTTTTGGCGGTATTGTGATAGTATTTGAGTAATATAATATTCAATATTGTTTCCATCTAGTGGTTTGTCATTCGATCGGATTTCGAGCACTGAATCCGATCGAGAGTAAGGGTTCGTCCAAATTTCAAGTAATATCGCATATGTACACCTTTCAAGCAATTAGTGATATTTCAACACTTCAAAATATTATTTATATGAAAGCATCGAAAAAAAAGTAAACTTGTATTGCTTTTGATAAAAGCAATTTTCATGTATGCATCTACATCTATACCATTTAGCACCAACACTACCTTCTATTCAAACGCTAACAGTAACACACAAAGGTGTACTTAGCGAAACTGATTGAATTTGAGAAGAAAAAACACAGCGAGTCTTGATTCATTTACTTTTTTGATGCTATTGAGAAGTATCTCTTTCATTCCTGTTGCTATTCATATAAGAAACTAAATGCTATTCTTTTTCATATATAATAATAGTTTGAAAACCGTACTATCACTTTATGAAAGTATTTGTGGGCTGTTGATTAGCTTGGATCTGAGTGCCGTTGTGAAGACTCATCCCTTGTAGAACACTATCTGAATCATGATCTTAGGCAGTATCTACCTTTAATTGTAAATTTTATGCCGAAAAAAAAATGAGCGAAACCTATCGGTTGAAGATCTTGGAAGAGAACATTCTTTAGTGTCAGAGAACTTTTCAGTCAGTAATTAGTGCAATTTTTAGATCTTAGTGAACTATTTCTACTCTAGAAATAATTCGTGCTTATGGCTTGTCTCTAAGACGATCGATCGTTGACGCTGAATTTATGCTGCAGAACTTGATGTTTTCAGTAAGATCACATAGTCCAATTTTAACCTGAACTTTTGGCTGCATTAAAAGTTTCAGAAATTTTATGTCTCACGGAAATATGGAACTTTCAATGTATGGTCCGTTTTCAATGAACAGTAAACACAGCATATAGTTTTTTAAAACTCTGAAACTCTTATACACCCAACGCTTCAGGTCAAAATTTGATCATATTGTTTTACTACAAATATCGGGTCTCATAGCGAAAGCTCACTACAAACTTTTCGTCTCCTCAAAGTCACAAGCATAAACTTTTTTTCAGGATAAACATAGTTCACTAGGACTTACATGATGCGCCAGCTCCCGCCTAAAAAGCTCCTCGACATCTGAGAATGTTTCCTTATTAGCTCTTTGTTGGGAATGACATCGCGTTGTAACTTACGATTTTGAATGGGCTGAGGGGCATCCGTATGATACCTCGTTTCCTTATTATCATTTGCATTCTGAATAGTTATATGAGTTTGTCTTGTACCGAATTGTAGATTCTAAAACAAATAAATATTCCGGTATTATATCTCCTTTCGATTGCGCGTGTTACAAAATAAAAAATTCAAATTACATTTTTTTTTCTATAATTTTTACTAGTCGAATTTAGTATAAATCAATATAACTTTTGATAAATAATCAACTCATTCATAGAGCGTATACCTGAGAGGATTTTTGTGACGATAATATGATGGTTTTATCTGATGTAGATGTAGATTTGTCTTCAATATAATTAGATTTGGGAGTTGGAGTAAAGTGGGAGCCATTTGAAGTTTCTATAATGAACAAATCAGTCGGAGCAATGGAAACATTCTCGATTTGTGACACAACCGAAGGCGTATTGAACTTTTCACAATCATTGCGTGAACCTGAAAATGGACGACATTTATCTTTTGAATATTATTTATTCATAAGAACACACCTTTAGCAATAATTTGTCCTTTTCGATACTGTTCTATTGTTTCGATAAAACAGACATCATTTATATAAGTATATTCTGGTGATTTAAAAACAGCTGATTGAGATACTGCTGAAACAATGTCACTATTATCCCATCGGACAGCATAAAAGCTTTCATTGTCAACAGAAACTGCTGGTATATCTGTATGAGACTCGGATACTACAATTAAATTGATAATTAATATAAAAATTAGACTATAAGTAATAAGTAGTTATATATATGCTTGTTACTTGATGTTGCATATACTGGCTTTAAATGTTGAATAGTTGGAAGATCAAGATGAAATTGCTTTTTATTAGTTTTATAATGTTCATATGTAGCTGGGCTACAGACAAGCATTTGAACTGGAAGATGCCGTGCAGTATCAAAGCGATAATAGAACATAGCATGAGTGTCATTCTCAATATTGACACCATTTAAAAAGATAACTCGATCATAGTTTTTTAGTTCTGCTCGACGAGCTAAGCTCGATGGCGAATCTTCAGCTAGTTCGATGTAATGGAACCGTTGTGGTGCAAAATAAAGGAAATAAACACCTAATATCTGTTGTGATATGGCACGTTGCATAGTACATAGTCGAATGTCATCGTTTGTGTACGTTAAATTGATGTTTTCATCAACAGCAGCAAAACCTATATTAAAGAAATCTCATCGTATATTTAGTTATTCACTTTAAAAAAATGTCCAGTTATTTTACTATTAAGTTAAATAAGTGATTTGTTCATGTTGATGTTTATAAACATATGGAAAAGGCCTTCGAAATCTATGAAATTAAGCTCCGTAAGAAACATTTTTATTGTATTTATTATATTATTTCAAATTATTGTTCTATTTTTGAATGAATTTTGTCTAAACGTATAAAATACTGAAGCCGATAAAGATGTTTTAATTAGACTAGTAAACATAAAAGTCATACTGTTAAAATTTCACATTAAAATAATGCGTAACTAATTAAGATATTGTTATAAAACATCGTATAGTTCAAATAACAAATCTTTTAAAAATCTGATTCCTGAGTGAAAAAGAGATGATGGATATGAAAACTTTTCACTATCGTACTTTTTTCTTGTGGTCTAATCTATTTCATTATGTAGATAAATATTGGAAAATTAACTTTTCTTACTATAATGCATGTCAACCCATTTTTGAATTATTTTGGGTGGGTCAGTTCCCCATCCAGACATATATTTGATTTGATCTCGGTTATTTCGATATTTAATTATGCAACCAAAATCAGTGACATTTATATTTGAACCTGTTGTATGAGCCTTTAGATCAGCACGTTTGTCAATGGGAACAAGAATATAATGCCATGCGGGTCGTCCATTATCTTTGCCGCGAATGAGAAAGAAAGAATCGCTGATCTTCTGTTCTGTTATAATATCTTTAGGCCAATCTTGATAGCTTGTAAGTAACTTCTACAAAAAAAATAATTAAAATAATCGATTAAGACCTTTGGATTATTAAGGAAAAAAATTAAATGTTTGTTCTCTATCCTTATGAAATAGATCTTTTTATAGTTTTTTCTGAAAATCTTAAATGTTTTAAAAAAAGAATATATATGTGACAAAACGCAAAAATATTTAATACAATTGTGTTCGTTGAATATATGTTTCAATAAATATTTCTTGACAAGAATTTTACCTGTATTTTTTCGTATAATTTTGCCATCGAATAAAATAAAAAGTGTTTTTGTCTAAACCAGTCAAAATAATTAATGCAAAATAAATGAAGGTTTTTCTACGAATTTTATTATTAAATCTCTTTTGTTATGAGTAATCAAGTGATGTTGTTATCTAAAACAAAAGTTGGTTATTACCATTGATAAGAAGATGATATTATCATCTACCTATTCTGTCAATAAATGATAAAGGATGATTGTTTTTCTCTCATATGTCAGCGAAATTCAGAAATTTATTCTTATAATATCCTAGTGAAAAAATGCAATAAATTTCTATAAAAAAAAAGAACTTCGTATTCATGATATACATCGTATCTCGAATACACACAAAAACACTCTTTATTAGATAATAATATAGTATTTTTTTAAGATAAAAAAACAACAAAAAATAATCAGAAAAACTAGGGAACAGATTATATTTGATTATTCAATTCGTAAAAAAGGACATTATTTACTTCTCAATCGTTGGTTATTCATTTGGCGACACTAAATTTTTTCTGTTGTATAGAAGAATTTTAACTGGAGAATCTGGTCAAATCATTTTGATATATTTCAATTGCAATTCATTTTCTCAAAAAAAAATTTATTTGAATATAATCAATCAATAAAGTGCATAAAATGGTAGCAACATTAACAATCATTACATCAATTTATTTCAATGTCATGTTATTTCACATTAAGCAAATATTCAGATAGAATATTGTTTATAAATTGCATAGATATACTTCTGTAAATGAATAATTCATTTTAGAGAACAAAATATTCGAAATTATTGAACACAACATTATGAAGCTCATCTAATACTTTTTTAAGTCCCTTTATATCTAGCAAAATTTATTATCAATAAAAAAGAAAAAATACTGAAATTTTTATAAAAAAAAAGAATGTCAACAATTTGAAGCTTCTCTCTTGTATTAAAACACACTTATTAGAAAAGTTACATGTCAACAATAAAAATAATTTCCATATCTATCCTAATATTTGTGATACTAGAATTAAATTTTAATTCTGTCAACAACTTATACATCTTGGACGCGATCTTTTCTCTCAATTTCCCTTGACAATTTATACATTATTTTACAGAAGAATTTCAATTTTAGGTTTTGAAACAAATTATCACTTATTTAGATAAAATTAGTAGGTAAAGACCAAAAAACTGATAAAATAGTCCATGTCTGTATTGCTTTTTGAATCCGATGACTAGATCTTGGTGTTAAAACACATCTTATGTAATAAGATACATTATAGAAACTCGATTATATCAATCGCTCTATTCTCAAATTCTGCAATATTCTGTCGATTTGAAAATGTATTGAGCATTTTTTTATTTATCTCGAAATCATAACCAAACAATCAGTTCACAGCCTTCTTCTTCAACATCAATCAGAGGTTTCCTATGAAATGATAAACGTAAGAGGGGGTGTAGGGTGTGGATGGGTGTGGGTGTGGGCGTGGGCGTGGGTGGGTGCGGTGTGGCTGGGGTGTGGGTGCGTATGGGTGGGGTGGGGGTGGGGTGTGGGTGTGGATGTGGGTGCGACTGGGAGTGTGGGTGTGGGTGTTAATCTTCCCTTCATTCATACCCACACCCCACACCCACAGTCACACACCCACACCCTAAGCGTGGGTGACTAGAAGCTCACAGTAGTGAAAAAAATTGTACAAACTCAGAAAAAAAGCCTATATACTAATTTTTTCGATTAGAAAAAAGACTTTAAAAATATTTCTTTCTAGTTGTATTTAGGACTCTATATTTGTCAACAAAAACTTGGAAGTACCCTGCACTAAGAATACAAACACTAATTCATGCAATAGAATCATAATAGAAACATGTAATTGTCTTTTGCGTCAACAAATTTTCGAAGAGCCTGCTTCTGGATGGACGATTCAGGTATCAGAATCGGCAACTCCGGTTCCGATACGATTGTGATATATGTGGAGTGAAGGTTTGGGCTGTAAGTGTAGGTATCTATGGAGAGAGGTTCACCCATACTCGCACCAACACCCACATCTTAATTACTTGGGCAAAGCAAGCATTCAAGAGACTGATGCCATCACCATCGAAGGCCTTGCGAGGGCGTCGAAATTGAGGAAGGAAGGTACTGAGGCAATATATAAGAAAATGTCTCATAGGCCTAGTAAAACTTTTTCAACATCCTGATAGTTTTAATGAGTAATCATTTATAACGCTTTCGAAGCTTCTGCTTCCTCTCAACATTATAAATCGTTGTTGTTAATTATGGAGTTACCTATCCAATAGCAACTTACAATAACTTCAAAAACAACGTTGCTTTAACAATATTTGCCGTTTTTATTACAAGCAGCTTGTAAACGAGTGTGGATGTGGGTGAATCATTCCAGTTGAGAATCCTCTATAGGTCTCTTTTCTTTGAAGTCTTATATGCATGTCATGCGTATATGAGTCTATTCCGTGCTCGGATGCGCAAATAGAATAGTCATGCCATGTTTATTCAGGGTGATTTATTTCATTGAACAAGAAAATCATTTATTAATCAGTCTAATCAATATCTTCGATAGAAAAACGTTGTACTCGATGATTTCCATTATCGAAAACATAGAGATTCCCACGTCGATCGAAGGAAATAGTTGTAGGAAAACACAATTGATTAGCCCCTTTTCCTTCACCATTTCTACCTACAATGACAGTGCCCTGTCCTGCTCCTTTAGGCCAACGCACTACTCGGTGGTTTCTTGTGTCTGTTACATACACAGTACCCAACGAATCGACAAATAGTCCTCCAGGATAAGATAATTGTCTCAGAGTGTTTCCATGGCCATGGTCACCAGCAACGACCACTCCTTCTGTTGCATCTTTATTCCATTTCATGACACGGTGATTTTCAGTGTCTGACACGTAAACAGCTTGGTGTCGATCGACAAAAAGATAGCTCGGGCCGTTAAGTTGATTGATACCATCGCCTCTACCATGCCCACCGGCCACGACAGTTCCATTTTTGTCTCCTATTTGATATCGTCTCACCTCAACTAGTATGGGGTCAGAAATGTAGAGACCTCTCTGATCATCCATCGCCAATCCGTAGCAAAAGATTCGGTCGAGAAGGATTTCTCCTTGAGTTGTGCCAGCTCGACGAGACCATCGAGTGACTCGTCGATTTCCATCTTCACATATTATGAAACTATCTGTCTCATTATCGATCAATACATCGGTTGCAAAAAACACTTGATCCAATCGATCTCCTTGACCATTACCACCAGCTACCACTTTTCCCTTCGTATTACCCACCCTCCATTCGACGATACGATTATTGTTCCAGTCAGAGATGACCAACGTTTGATCATCATCAGCGAGGAAACCTTTAGGCTGATGTAGTTGATCAAGAGCACTGCCAAATCCACGACCTCCAGCAACAGTCACTCCATTCTGTGCCCATGTAGCATTGACTGGAATATTGGGCATCACTGACATGTACAAGAAAAAGAAAAACGAATTATCATCGTTGCTGAAGAGATTCTCTTCCCTTGCATGGGAAAGTGGTACAAATCTTCGAGAATATTCATTTTCCCTTTCATAATTACGGGGCAACAACCACAACTGCTTGCAGACTTTTAATTCTATCTTTTTGCTTACAAGTAATCTTCAGTAAGATTAAGAGAATTTAAAAAGTGTTCGTGCTCCTTGCTGTTTCCTGGCGAGATATGGGCACCTGTATATGAAAAGATTGACTTTTTTATCTTTTTTTTCAGACTTCATGCGTAATTTTTTTTACAGCTGGTCATTTGTTGATCTGTTTGCAGAATTATCTTCAATTCGTTATCTTTTTTGGAACGAACAAATGTGTGTGTCTTCTGCTCGTTCACGCCTACCTGCATTTCTCAGAATTATCAGAATTAAGATAGAGAAAGATACTTTATTTTATTGAAAGGCAGCACATATAGTAATATCAAATAAAGCTGAAGAATGCATTGCGTTCTATCACTGTCAACAAAACGAATTAAACTTCGGTAGTGACGAAAAATAGCCAACATGGAAATTATTATTACTTGGTTTTTCCTTATGATAAAAGTTGAACAACTTATAATGTAGGATCGTTGATCTTATCTATATGATGGTTAGCTAGCTGCATATTAATATTGCACACAAAGCAAATTTATATACCTGATCACATATTAATATTCACTAAGGTTAAAAAGGGTTAATCGAAGGTTTACCTGGCTCCTGAGTAGTTGTTGTAGTTGTGGTTGGAATTGTAGCTGCAGTTGAAATTGTAGTTGTAGTATTCGTCGCTTTTTAACAAAATAGAACATTATGTGTATGTAAAGCAGATATTTTTAGGTTTTAAATAAAATGCAACATAGAACTCGGTGCGCTTATGCTTAAGGTGAAGCCTAAGACATATTTCAAAGTTAAACGACAGTCTGAAATGGTCTGAAAATTAATTTGTTTCTTTCAAAACTGATTCTCGATGAAAAATCTCTGTGTTAATTAGAGACTCTCAAACTAAGTAATATTTCTGATGATTCGATTCGAGGTGATTCAGCTGTATCGAATCACATCGAATTGAACACAAGCTAACTAGATCATCCTGCTCGAATTCATCAATTCTGCCATATGTTGTTAAACTCTCGCATAAATTGCGCAGAATGTTCGAAGAAACAGAATGATAGTGGAAATATAACTTGTTGTGAGCGCTCCCTTTCTTTTGACTTTGGTCAGTTTCAATGTTTAAATTCTTCTCTTAAGAAATAAATTTCAGATGTTTGATACACGTAAGCATTACTTCCAAACTAAGTAGTCGTATCAAGGGTTGTTCGTCAATGTTCATTCTGTACTTACTGCCACAGCTGAGTCAATGTTAATGTACACTTTGAAATAACTATTTGAATACGTAGTTGAATTACCGATCATTAATGGCGTACTCATCCCATGAATCTCTAAAGCTTGATTGAGATTCAACAGTCATTGTATCACGGAAATAGGTAAAGTTAGCACGATATTCGAGTATCTCTAGTTCAGATTCACTTCCTGACCTATGTTGAGTCTCTAACTGTTTGTGTTAGATGGAGAATTTCATTCTCTATCAAAGGGTACCATTTGTGGGTGTGGATGAGCATGTTTCATGTCTTGAATGAGGAACCAATACTTCCAAAAGTTAAAACTAGACCAGAAAAGTATCGCAAGTGATCTATTGTCATCCTATACCCACACTTGAGTTTCACTTGAATTTGTAGATCACTGTTTGTTCTCTTACTTGGTTTCGGTGGACAGAGTTGTCGATTGAAATTTGGCACCGGATAACAAACAGGAACATTATGACATCGAGGATGATGAACACATCTATGGTTAGGCTCACGACAAAGGTTGTCTGAGCTTTCACATGGAACTAGCTCAGAACAATCGACGAATTCATCACCACAAATGCCAATGTTAATAGCACCTGCTATATAGAAACAAGCACACCCACTATTTGGAGAACACCGGTCATATTGAGACATTCCATGACAGAATTGAGATTTCACTCGAACTAGCGATATACTAAATTAATAGCATGATATGTAAACGAACTAAGAACCAAACCTGTGAGACTTAAAAGCAAGTTTGTTCAACTTTAGATGAATAAGAGAAAAATGAATTTTACAAGTACCTGAATAGAATGAATAAAAAACAATCAATTACTGTTGAAACCATCACTTGCATTGAAATGAAATAGAATAGCGACGATATCCATCTTTATATTTAATGAGTATATAATGTTTTTCACATTCACTGAAAGTTAAGAAGCGTATGTTGTGATCCTTCGATAAACGGAAATTCGATATTTCTCCAACGCTTACCGAACTACTTAGTTTTTCTTCAAGAAAATACATCATAAAGACAAAATAAAATGGCTTCTGCAATGCAAGCATTCAATAGGCTCGTGCTATCATTTGAAACATCAATTTTGTTATTGTCATCCATTGACTCACTATGTAACGATGACTTAGGACAATATCAAGGACAAAGTTTTGTTTTTAATATGTGTATTATTATTGCTTGCAGCTTGTGGAAGTCTGCATCTTGATCAAATAGAAATCACAATCTATAGCCAGTCACATTCATTTGTACTTTGGACTGTATCTCCGTTGAATCTCAAGAATTTATTTATTCGACTTTCATCTTCAAATCTCATTTCTTACGTAATGATTTCTAGTTTAAAAAAAGTTCTTCTTTTTACATAGCAGCGTAGATATGAGTAGGGCAAATATCTGATATTCTCTGCGCGTGAGTATGAATGAATCAATCCATTTGAGATCCATCGTGTATACCTCTCCTCTTTGACGTCTCATATAGAAGTCATATGTATATGAGTCTACTCCACCCATCCATAGCTTTCATGCCGTCAAGATTCTACTTGGGTGGTTCGTATGTGCGCACGCAACTAGAATAATCATGTCATTGTGGTAAGACGGAATTTCGACAATATACTTGAGTCGATCTTTTTTTTTAATATTGTGCTTGATCTGTGCAGTCCGCGAACCTCAAAAACATCACGCGCATAAGTAACAAACTCCATTTAAGGCGTGCTTAAAGATAAAAGATATACTTTCAGAAGTTGAATTTTTCTTCAGGATAGAGACATTCGATCTGGAAAATGATTGGAACTCAAAACTACTTGTTTTTTTTTTAAATAGAGCTTTTTTTCTTATGCGCATAACATGTACGAATGTTCAGATTTGTCCACAGCACATGAATCTCTTCCTTAAGAAGGGCGAGAGGTTTATTCACACGAGACAAGAAATTTCACTAGCATATACAGCAGTTGAAACTGATAAATTAGTTACATTTCAATTAATATGACATCGAATATTTAGATTGTTGGTAGAGATCTACGTTCTCTTCATACATGCACCTTCTTCCTCTTCTTTTCTTCTCACGCACATCACATCTCGTTCGATATATCAGATTTACTCTCTTTAAACACGGACACAGATATTATGGTTTCTTTTCATCTTCTATTGTTCGTTTCATCGGTTTCGTTTTGTTGATGCATATTAGTTGCAATCGCTTTCTCTATATGTTCACATTCCTTGCTTTTTCCTAAGTCTTTTTGTTCATTTTTCTTCTCCTGTTAGTCCATTTATATACAAATTTTTTTTCTATTTTTCAATTTACTGCTATTGATCATATAAATAAACTTAGCTTCTAGTGCAGCATTCATTCTTATTTAGTGATTCGTTCTTGACGTTAGCTTAAAAAAAGAGAATCTATGTTTCTAAGGTACAATGCACTCCCACCTGCCGTCTATATGGTTAAAAACTCAGTGGAAATCAGGCAATATTGTCGAAATTCTATAGAACCGTCGTTTTTATTCAGTGTGATTTATTTCATTGAAAGAACAACAAAAATCATTAATCATTCCAATCAGTGTCTTCGATAAAAAAAAACGTTGTACTTGATGAGTTTCATTATCGAAGACAGAGATAGCCACGTTGATCGAAGGAAATAGTTGTAAGAAAAGACAATTGATTAGTCCCTTTTCCTTCTCCATTTTCACCCACAATGACAGTACTCTGTCTTGCTCCTTTAGACCAACACACCACTCGATGGTTCCTTGTGTCTGCTATGTACAGAGAATGGCCTTTCTGTTCTTTCGGATAGATTCGAATATCACTCTCTGTGAAGAAATTTGATTGTCATTAAAGGTCACAATATTCACCATTGATCATTTAACTTTGTCATTCCCGCCGATAACGGACATGATAAAAACAAATATGCATATGTGTAAATACATAGATGTCATTATGGTGTATTATCACATACAATCAAACATGAAATATTCAACTGTTAATATTCTTGAACTATGTGATGAGATGTTGCTGACTATTTTAAACAAACTCAATAATATTGATGTATTATATTCATTCATATGAGTCAATCGAAAACTCGATAGATTGGCACGAGACATTACTTTCACCCAATCTGTTGATTTAGTAACAATATCATTAAATGAACATGATGAATCAAGAAACAAGTCAATACTCGATCGATTTTGCTTTGATATAGTACGTCGAATTCAACACAATATTGAATGTCTTACTCTTGATCCATTGTCAATCGATCGCGTTCTTTGCATTATATATGATTATAAACTTCATAAAATAACTCTTGTTAATTTTCAACTTGAAGTGGCATCTCGCATATTCAATGATATGTCCTCTTTTCACTTATTCTTCAAGATAAAGTAAACTAAGTCAATTAATAAATTTATTGTATATATTTAGACGGAATATCATTTGTTCATATTTTCAAACATAAGATCTCACATCTTACTGTTACAATAAATGATGACAGGACAGCTCAATATATACAAAAATTATCCACAAATGTTTTCACCATTATTTTTACAATGTTTACAAATTTAACTTATTTTCATTTCGATGCGAAAGATATTTGCCGCTATCTAACAACTTCACCTTTTGATTTAGTAT